GGTTCCTCACTGTACCAATTATTGAGCATCGTTTTCTCTGGCATGCTGGTTGGGTGGCAGCTGTGCCTCCTTGCCTACGTTTGTAATAAATCTGAATTTGACCAAACGGTGACCCGTTGGGTGTTGTCTCCTGTATCTTCATGTGTTGTTTTGCAGGTGCTGAATGATAACTCCAACCTTGCTTCTAGCAGCGGCACAGGTGGTGATCCACCAGTCGGACATGGAGGCAGATGAAACAAGCCATAACAAACCAGCTGCTTTGCATCCCCAACACACGTATATGTCTGCAGCTGTCTCCATTGCCTTGACAAGGAGTGAACACTGACATTGTCAAGTTGTCGAAATGCCCAACACCAGGAGTGTCACCAAACGAGTTGACATCCCAATGTACGTGTTTGTTTTCAGTGACTTCTCCTACTTCCCCAGTCCACACCGGCGTTCCTGGGGACTGCCTAGCTGAGAGCAAATAAGGAAACTTTCAGTTCAACAATCGCGGGCCAGAATAATGCCAGCCATCGCTTTCCAGATGCAACGGCAGCGCCTGCACCTGGAGCTTGTTGTGTTGTTGATGGGCGCAGGGCCAAACACCAGTGTGCTGTACTGATAATCAAAGATAATCCTTACTTTGAGCTTGTGGCCCGACGTCGACTTGCGAAACTGCTTTGCTTTCATGTTTTGGCAACTGCAAACAAAGCAGTATTCACGGGGCAGCACAACTCGCCGGATATCTTCACAAAAGTATTGCTTCGGGGAGTGGAGTAGTGGGGTGCATCGCCGGGTGCCCAGCCAATAGACAGGCGCCCGTGCCAATTTCCCGATTCTGCGCCGCAACCCAAGCACCTCAGAGGCAGGAGCACGCCCAGGGCGAAGCGAAGATCGCCGCTTCGGCACTTCGCCTAGAGGGGGATGCCAAGGGCCGATCCGCGGTAGGGTGACCACGACCTTTAAAACCGGCCTTGGACGATGCCGGCAGTACATCGAAATCCCTGAGGTGGTTGCTTGTTGAACTGAAAAGGCACCCAGGAAGCCAATCCCTGCAGCCCGTACTTTGTTTCGGCTGCTTCCGTCACCACCGCGGACATATTCAATTCCTCTTGGGGTACTGTACGTTGGCGCAGTGAACGCTTTCTTCACATTTTCCCTTCGGTCCATCCCCAATGCCCCAATGCTTGGACGTCAGTCTGTGCCGTTTGCCATATCGGCATACCACGTCAAGCGCTGGCCAAGTCCAGAGGAGTTCGGACTTTCGATACTGGCAGGCGTCGATGTTCGGAAATGCGCATTGTAGTGGGACAGTGCCACTATTCTACTGTCGCGCCCTTTGGCGTTTATCTGCTCTACTCTTGCAATTATGCAGCCGTGATACCTTTCTGGTTGCTGCCTTTGCATTTGCGGCCATTTCGGACAAGCATGTAGCCTCAGGTGCACGCTGCTATGGCCTGTCGTTAAAGGGAAGAGAGGGTGTACAAGAGTCTGCCATGCTTTGCCGCTTGCACTGCATTTGCCACCACAGGATACAGCACCACTGATGTGTACACATTCAAATCAGCTAATGAGTGTCCGCAAGTGCGCATGTACCCTTCGTACCTGCACAGAGCATCAATATCCCCTTTAACGGGCATTGATTTCATTTGTCAAAACTTCGATGATAGCAAGCCCAAACCCGTTCAGATCACTAAATTTGGGAGAGGGATATTGCTGCAGTATTCGAATGAACAGAGGCCCCGCCTGGCCCGCTGCAACAGCAGCCTGCAAGTACGAACCAGGGTATTGCAGAGTTCTTGTTATTCCGGTTGTTCTACAGAACAACAGCAAACCGTTGCAGAAAATCTGGTGATGACTGGTGCACAGTGACTTGGCATGGTTTACTCCTTTGCATACATTTTTTCCCCAACGCGAAGAACCATAAAGCTATACTTCATAGTAAGACATTCTGAACATTGAGCCCTTACATAGTTTACTGGACCCCACTGGGAGAAGTTGTTTCTCTCCTGATGGAAAGGTGATTTCGAGACTGCTATTAGCAGTCAATTACCTCAAAGATAGTTGTTGATGCACAGGCGCATTGTGCGCGACATCCATGCAACAATGCTAATCACAGCTGTGCGCTTTTTTGCCGGCGGTCCTTTCCATCTGGTGATTCCTGACACCTGAAGAAAGTGCTGAAAATATGCATAGAATTCATGCAGTCTGTGTTTGCAAGTGGCAACGAGAACCCATTGTTATATTTGAGATATCGGCGAAAGCTGTGCAGGGTAGGCACTGAAAACTACTACAAAGCATAAACAGGGACCAAGAGGTAGGTGCTGAAAGATAATTGAGCGCTGTGCTGTCAATACAAAGTTTGTTGGTGAGGGTAGATCATTCCTTGTTGCTCTTCACCCTGTTTTTGGCCACCACGACCATATATATCTTTCCAGTGCCTACAATGGTTGCCCCCACAGGCAATGACGCAGAAACTGGGGCACCTGTGCATGACAGGATGTCCTACTTGCCTTGGCAGTTATCTTGGCATGCAGCAGTATAGCTGTGCGCTCTCCCTTTGCTCCAGAATTCGGGGGCAGCAGGGGACAGCGTTTGTGCCCGACGGCCTGCTTCAAAGCTGATTCGAAAAGCTGTTCCAGTCAAGAATGTCAGAAAACAGATTGTAACAACAAGGAAAGGGCTCCACATGGCCTCAGATGCCGCGGAGCTCGGTTAATGTAATCAAACCGGATTTCAACAACAAGGAAAGCATATTAACGAACCGAGACCAGCTCCACAGCAAAAGTTGGTGAGGCTATGCCCCATGCTGCGAAAGATGATGTGTAAAACACATAAGGCAGGCAGAGCCATGCAATACTTTGCGCTGAGCATGGCAAGTACGCCAGCACTGCACAATACCATCTGCCAAAATCGCCCTGGGACACAGCACCTGCTGCATTTAAAGGCGATGGCCGCGACTCTGGCAGCAGTTGGGGGCGCTAAGGAGTATATGGGAAAGGTGCATGGCGTCGGTTGGACCCCGCCCAGAAATTTGAGCAAGACAATAGCGTTGTAGTCGTCTAGTTGTTGGTTGGAAACTACAATTTAGTTTGGTGCTTAGAGTTCCTTCATCGCCTCGGAGTGAATGAAAGACAAGTAAACAAGTAAAACAAAGACTGCGATTGCAACAGTAAGCGTGCAGCACCGGCTGCATTACAGGGTCTCGGGCGCGTCTTCCCGCCTTCAACATGATCTTCGGCTTTGATGGAAACGACTGGGAAAATGGCGCATAAATTGGCACCTGGGATTGTCTTCGATGTGCCGCCCCCAAGCGGCTTCCCATCGACGCCCGCCCTTGGCCACGACAGCAAACCCGCGCCTCCGCCTGCGCCTTCGAGGGGACTCCGAAGGCTGACCGGTGGCGGCCGGCGCCACGCACGGCCAAAACGGTGAGCCACACAGCCCTGTGCCGCAATCCCCCACTCTTATTGGGCATCGCGCCCAGTCCTCGCATCCCTTTGCCATGCCGAGGCGTGTTTTTGTGGCGCAGTGCCGAGCGGCGACTGGACAATCGTTGGCCATTTAGGCAGGACGCTCCCATGTTGTGCGGGTCCGGCGTTTGGAAGATCACCGCGGACTTCCGCGCGCGCCGCACCCTCCGAGGTCGAATGAGGAGCAGTGTTGATTTGACTTGTCGACATGTCATGTCAGAGGGCGTGGGGCCCAGGGGGAGGGTCGATCGGCGGGCGCGCCGCGCGTCCTCGCGCGGAACTGCGCCTTGCGGCGGAATTTCGCGATGCTGTGAGTTGCCTGCGGCCGACGTTGCCGATGGGCTGCATCGAATGCCTGCCGTTGCTCGTGTGATTGGCTTCAGTGCCACAATGGGGCCGGATTGCTCTGGAGCCGAATTCACGAAGGACGGTACTGGACGTGTCCAGCAGACTCTGTGAGCCGTGCTCCGCTTCGCGCGTGCGCCAGCCCCTTTCCACAGCGCGACGCGTCGTTTGAGGTTGCTGGTCCTCCGGGCGGCAAGCGCCCATGGTCGATGCAGAGGGGAGCACGAATGGATCGAATCCCCTCGACTCCAGTTTGGGAGAACATATAAAAAGCACTGCCGTTGCGCCTATTGGACAGCTGCGGGCTCAAATTCTCGTTCCCTGGCCACATGTGCCGTTCGCCCCACTCGATTGCCTGTGATTAGTTCCCTGTGCGCTGGGCTTGGCTGGTGGGTCAGTCTTTCGGGGACGAATGTGCAGCTGGGCATGGTGGTGATCCAATTTGAGCAAGAGTGTCTGGAGGTCGCCCTCTGAGGACAGGAGCTGAATGCGCTGCCCCAGCGCATCGACCACAGCCCCTCAGCACTGCAGCAAGACTGCAGTTACTGTAGGGGCATGAGGTTTGCTCTGGTCACACGGAGTTTTGTTGCTGGGCAGAAAATGGTGTTGCATGAGTCGATGATCTTAACAGGTGGATACTTACACCTGACATGCAGTGCATATCCAAGCTCGCTGGCGCTGGGGCCTGTGGGTGGAAATAAGCTCATCATAGTCTTTTGGTGCAAGGGAACTGTTTTGCCATGTTCTGGCACATATGATCTTAAGGATCTTGGGCATGTTGGTGTCAGAACTTGATTGCTAACTAAGCTGAAGTTGTGGACATAACAGGCTGCACACAGTATGCCATTTGGGAACATGTGCTGGTGGCAGCCCTTCTTGCATCTTTCTGACGTGCGTCTGGTATGTTGCATCTGTCCTGTATCTGGGATCCAGCTGCCTGTGCAGCTAGCAAGATGGCCCCATGTGTGGGTATGATGGCCTAACGAATCGAAACACTGTGACTGCTGGCACCCACACCTTGATTTCTGTTTATCGATGGCTCTGGATAACAAGGGCATGGGCAAACTGGTTGCTACGATGAAGCATTGCTCCTGTAGCATGCTGGTCTGAAATCGTGGTCTGTATGGTTGTTTGTGCTGCCACGGACAGTCGTCATTTTGTGTCATGTGCACATGCAGAGAGTGTTGATCTCACCCTTGAATGCAGGAATCGAGCCATCTGCAAGGAGTCCACAACACCAACATGTCCAGTGAGCATGCGGTCACCTACAGCTATCTTCCACAAGATGTGGATGGCTATGAGGACATGTGCGATGCCTGCTTGGTTCTGGCGGGCCGTAAATTTCCTGTGCACACAGCCGTGCTCGCAGTACACTCCCGTTTTTTCCGAAAGATGATTGTTGACTTGAGGAGCGATATATCATCGAGCACATATGGGCAGCTGGAGATTCCTGTGGCCGAGGCAGTGTCGGCTGAAGACATCGAGCTCATGTTGGCGTTTGTGTATGGCCAACATCCAGAAGTCGAAACGGTGGGTACCTGGCATTTGCAACATCGCTGGCACTTTACAGAGTCAGCGCATGGCGATATGTCAATACTGAATATGGAAGAATGTCCCAAAGGGAACTTAAGTAGCATGTTGCTTGGAATGCTGTGGTTTGCGCAGCAGTGAAATAGCACATCAATCATTATTGTTTTGTAATTCTAGAGGTGTGGGATCAGTTCCTGGCTTGTTTGCCGTGTTCAGTTCCAAAACACTGCATCACATTCAGGATTTTGGCACCATTCCTGTCCCAACACAAGAGCTGTGGGCCTTGTGCCACCTCACAAAAGAGTGCAAAGTGATGCAAGCCCAAAGGGATTGATCTTGTAGAAAATGATGTGCATTCTCAAAGAGGACAGGTCTTTCACTGCAGGGGAGAGATGAGGAAATCATGGCAGACTGTAATGAATGGTGTGTTACATTGATCCGCAAGAATTGGCTGGTGTTGATGTGAGCATTGCTGCGGTGGCTGGTTCTGGTTGGGAGCAAACAACCTGAGTGTTTCTGTGCAGACTGCCCTGTTTGCTTCTCAAATTCAAGGTTTTCACGTCATGTTGCAACAACAGGCTGAGGAGGCTAGCCGGATGCTTTGCATGGCGGACAGATTCGACATCCCGGGTCTGTTGGAGAAGTCAGAAAGGAAGATTAAAGACCTGGAACACAAGATCTATTTCCTGGACCAAGGCTGCACAGGTGATGGCGTACAGTCAGAAGAAGCAGACCCGTGGCTGAGTGCAGCACACTGGCTTGGAATCGCAGATCGCCTTGGAATTGATGACCTCCGCACCAAGTGCCAAAGGATCGTTCTAAGGGACTTGTTGGCAAACGGCGTGCTACAGGGCACCCGGCCCGACCTTGCCAAGCCAGGGCTTGAGAAAGCCCTGTCCAGTTTAGACAGCCACAGAGTGACCGCAAGGGCCATGGCGGAGATCATTGTTGCAAACATTGGAGGCATGCTCCATGGCGAGTTCGAGGATGTGTGCATGGTGAGCTGCACAGCATGCGGGGCTGTGCACGACTGCAGCAAGATGTCGATGTACGAATACGAGAGGGACCCCTACCGCAGCCTTGAGACGTACAAGTGCCGTGCTTGTGGCCGGCGAACACGTGTTGTGGGTGGCAAGTCGTTCAAGATGGTTGCCGCCGATGATGGCCTTGCCGAAAGCCTGCAAAGGATTCGAATCCACGAAATGGGAGAGTGAGATATGGAGCATGCAGGAGCCGCCTTTCTGCTCTTGGTGCTTTCCTGGATCACCCTTTTCGGCTGGCGTTCTGGTGGATTGGCAGCACTGCCAAACTGATGTGTGACTTCGTGCAGTGCTTGAAATGAAAACCTGAAAATGGGCGGGGGGGAGCTATGGGGAGGCAGCCATTTGCTATTGCTGCTGACGCAGGGGACAATAACTAGGACGTGGTTGGGCGCCGTTATGAAGCTTGGGAGGTGGCCAGCGGTTCTTGATAGTGTCTGCGTATTGATAAACGTATACGTGGAAAGATTTTGATAGCGGTATGTGTAGAGCTAACGCAGCTGGGCCCATTCTTGGATGTAAGCTATGGTGGGACAGGATGTCGATTGGATGCGTAGAACGCCGTTTTGTAGACACATTCAGACGTTTCTGCACCATTCTTGTTTTGAATATGGCTATGCATTATTGTTTTCTTGACATATTTAACTGATTCGATTTTCTGGTGTTGGAGGCACGCGTTGCATTGTATGTGTTGTCAGCCTTGGTCAGAGCATGTTTGAGCCCCTTTGAACACAGGACATTGCTTCGTTGTTCACCTGCATACACATCGAAATTCGATGCCACTTTCATTGAAGGCGAGAAAAGGGGACCACATTTTCGTTCAGATGCGTGGCCCTCCATTGCAGGTCGTTGACGCCAAAGCTAATTTTGAGCTTGCTTAAGGTTCAGAACGACAACTTTGAAACTATTCAGGAAGTCTACTGAACTTCGAAGGCACGACAGTATATGGTTACTACGGTGTATATGGCTAAGCAACCATACATACTACTAAGGGAAGGGTCGCCAGCACAGCGTTAGAGTAGCTTGCCATAAAGGTGTCAACATTACACGATCAAGCCCCATTCTGTCACGTCTTTTGTGAGTCTTTGGAAGCAATTTGTGGCCACATTTCGAAACATGCGAATGTTGTATTGTCTGCCAATCCCCTGCCCATGTAGTGACCATCTTCCGTCCCCAGGACTTCCATTGGATGCGCTCATGCCTGGGATTCAAACCGGTGTGGTGGAAGCACAGTAGTACACGGTAGTACATTAGTAGAGGTACAGCAGTAGTAGTTTAGTGATACAGTTGCAGGGGTCTGGTAGTACAGTAGTCGCATACTAGTCGCCCAGTATCAGCCTGAAAAGAATAGGCATGACTCGCGGTAGCTCGAATATGGCGAATGCTCCATAAACCTCGCAGCATCGCCGTACTGTTGGGCTGCGGGCTTTGCAGAATCCATGCACGTGATCAAAGAATTGGACAGTTGGATGTCACAGCTGGATCAATTGCCATCAAAGGACCAAACGCCATTTTGCTGATCACCAGCTCAGCTAAGCACCTAATCGGCAAGCCAAGCACAGCTGGAATGTGGGCATTCAGGAAGCGCGGTCATTTTCCTTCGCACCGGCGTCAGCGGGCTATCATCGGCACCAGGCTTCAGGCCCAATGATAATAGATGGAGCTGAATTATACGACGCACAAAAGCCAAAATTCTCACGTGTGAAAATTGTGGCTTTCACAGAGCTGTGCAGCGTTGTTTGCGTTGGAATCGCTTTTTTGAAACGACGTAAAAAACTTGTTGGGCGCGGCGAGCTCAAAGTTCTGGCTGACCGCTTCAGTTGCCCGTGTTTGCCGCTCTCTCTCTTCCTCTTCGCCTCCTCACCGCTTCTGTTTGTGCACATTTGTGGCTGTCCAGGTGCCAGGGCTTCGAGGGCAAGCTCTTGCGGCGCACTGCGGGCAGAGGCTTAAGGTCAAATCGCGGCGGTTTGGGCTGCCCTTATAGACTTTGTTGTCTGCTGGCAGGCGCCTGGTCGCAAGAATCCCTTGAACCGGTGTCTTGGTGGACGTATTTTGCGGGTCCCGCAGGAGGGCCTAAGAGAGGCGCGGAAGGTGACGGCGGAAGACCAGGAGGCGGCGCATTGACGGTCAAGGTGCGCCCAATTGCCGAAATACTGCGTTTCCAAGCGGGATTCCTGTGCGCCCCTCCATTCCACTCCTCCTTAGAGCCATCAACTCAGCCAGCATTATGTCGCGCAATTCGCGGCAGTCGCCCGGCAGCGAAGGGGTCGACAAAACTTGGCTTTCCAACATTGCTATCGCCATGTGCTGTATGCTGCTGGCGATTTGTCAATGTTCAACAAGCAAACTTCTAACATTTTGAATAATGATACTAAAATGTTCACAGATTTGAATTAGCTGATACAGGAAAAAAATGCAACAAACATGTCGTCATGGAGTCAATTTTGCAAGTTCCGGTGCGCTCTGACCCTTTTCTTACCCTCCATGGCTTGTGCTTCCATTAAGCACGCAAATTAATGTCATAGTACAAACACAAACCACCTCTGGATGGTGGTAAGTCCGATCCTCGACATTGTGACCCCTGTCGGATGGGTCTCACTGGTATTCGAAGATGACCACCAGGTAGTCGGGCTGCACTGCGCCAAATTGCTTTGTCCAAACTTCTTTCAAAACAAAAGCGAGGCCATTGCGCCCAGCTGGCGATGACCGGCGTACATATGCGAATACAAAATGCGACAAAAGAAAACGGACAAAAAAACAAACAAACGCGCAAGATGCCTGCATCCATGAATATTACAATTCCGTTCCGTCCAGAGAAAAATTGATGCCTATCCCGGCTTCACAAAGCCCGTGGTTTGGCTGTGTACCCAGAGCTTGCTTTTTCTGTGTGCCCGATTCTCGTTTGACGAGGATCTGAAACGTCAGTAGGCCACTTTCAACCCACGGAAACCGGAAGAGCAACTAACCATGGACCGCTAGAATTGATACTGCATCATCCCATCTCACAAGAGATGCCATGAGCCGCTCCAAAGTACGATAACTCAAGAAAATGAGGTGATAAGAGATGGCGTAGCTAATTCTGGTGTGCAGCCAATATTTTCGCTGTGGAGATATCATATTGTGAGTTTCCCCCCTTTCGCTGTGAATATCAGCTGGAATTGCATAATAAAGAAGTGTGATCTAGGCAAGAAAGTGGTGGCTTAAATTTCCGTATGGTTTACTACCTTTCTTAGCAATTGCGCTACTTCTACTGTCACGCATCTCACCTGCCAACACTGTAGAATCGTCTTGTTGTCCCCGCTAAAATGGTTTCAAATAATGCCCTACAACAGATGTGCGTTATTTGAAGCAAGGCATACCACAGATTGCCTAGGCTAGAGACCGCCCGGCGCTGAGTGCCAGTTGGAGCCAAGAACGCAGGAGGCATTGCCTTGCTTGCTTTCCACATCGCGTGGCTGAATTAGTGGCAGCTTACTACCCCCCCCGCGCGGTTCCCTTGCCAGATTGAGTACGGGAGCAGTTGAACAGTGTAAATTTAACACACACGCTTCAACGCGACGCCAATATGAAAGTGAAAGTGGTGGCCCATCGTGCAGTAGCATGTTATGGGTGTCCTTTTGTAGAAATAGCATTGCAGCGCGCTTCTCCGGCAGTTCCTACTCTTTGTCATCTCAAGATACCTTCCGCCAGACACCCTGACACCCCCCCACTACCCCGCGCCGATTCCGAGATACGTAAGCTGTTGGAGATTTCACAAACATCATGTACCAATGAACTTTCGACCCATTCGGTCAATGGCAGGTGACCCTTATACGTGCCTTTCTTTGGCACAAAGAATGCAACCAGCTTAGAATGAACTACCGAGAAAAATGCTTTCTCAGTCACGCCCCATCACGGTAATCATGGTAACGTAGCATTTCGTGTGGTTGCAACAAGGCCACTTTGAGGCCGCATATTTAGATATTATTGCCACGCCAAGCAATGTAGAGGTGGCCACCCAGATCCGTTATTAGCGGACAGAGGTTAATTTCCGTTAATTTCCCGTTAATTAACGGAAAATAACGAAAAAAGATAAAAATTAACCAAAAATTAACGGATTTTTGGATTTTTGGGGGATTTTTGGGTTTTAGTCATACTTATAGTTTATGGAATTCGCTATTAGAGAGTATGTTTGTATTTTATTTCAACCTATGCATACTAGATTTTCAACTAGCCGCAGTTGTTGTGATTTTTTGGGTTTTTTTTCGTTTTTTTTGGATTTTTTTTTCATTTTTTCTGAATTTTTCTCCCTTTTTCTTTAACGAAATTTAACGGACAGCTGATAAAAATTAACGAACCGGACTTAACGGACCGGATGGCATCTTTGAGTGGCCACCTCTATTACAATGATGCGTTCATTGCGGGTCCGCCACCGGAGAATGAATTCGCGGAAGCAACATACAGGTTTGCTAAGCATCAACGACTCAGGCCATCGTGTCCCAAACATTGGAACCGCGTCACCGTTTTGTGATGCGAAGGTCTCAAACAAGGGTGGCAGTCAGCGAGCACTGAGTCTTGGGCATGCTGAAATTGGCATGCATTCAAATGTCTATCGCATAGGACCTATCACAAATTGGAACATCTCAAATACAACCTAAATTACATGGACCCAAATTTGAAGTATGGAAATGTACATTCTAGGGCCTTTCGTCATACAAGACAAAGTAAGGTCGCTATCACTCTACCGGGAGACAAGTTATTTGTTTTTGTAGGTATATATATATATATATATATATTCATATTCATATCTATTTATATATTTATTTATTTGTTTATTTATTTACTTCCTCCGTCCCATATTAAATGTCCTCTGTGAATTTGGCGCATCATTTCTCCATCATATATTGTAGTTCTTTTTATGAAATTTTGTCCAAAGCTGTATCTACCTTTTAGAAGTATACGGTCAAAACTTGAAGTCAATCTACCAAGTATTGATGATTTGGCAGTACTTTGTAGCAAGGGTCCTCTTTCCAGAATCCCATCGGTTTTTCAACGATTTTGCGAAAATGGCCGTTTTTGCTATTTCGAGGAGCACACGTTCGTGGCGGCGAAAGAGAGCCGCCCATGCAAAAGTATCCACGCCACTGAGACAGAAGGTCGGCGTGGTGCTTGTGAGGAAATACGGGGATAGGAAT